GGAAGTTGAGGTAGGAGTACTGTAAGTTCAAAGCCAGCCTCAGCCATTTAGCAAGGCCCTAAGCAATTTAGTGAGACAGACCCTGACTCAAAATAAAAAGTAAAAAGGCCTAGGGATATGGCTCAATGATCAGGTGCCCCTTGGTTCAAAACCTGGTACAATAAAATAAAATAAAATAAAATAGGCTAGGGATGGAACTCAGTGGTAGAGCACCCCTGGGTTCTATCCGCAGTACTGCAAGGATAATTAGAAAATTCTATTACTAAAGTCAGCCGGTGACCAACTTACTCTGTTGAATTGCTGGCAAGTGTTAATAATATCCAGGTTAGGCTACATAAGCCACAACTGCAAATTTCTGCCCTTTATTGATGGTAATCATAACAAAACAAAAAACAAAACAAGGCACGTACTTGATTATAGTAATAAAAACTCATCAGGGTAGGGTTGGGGTTGTGGCTCAATGGTAGAGCGCTTGCCTAGCATGTGTGAGGCACTGGATTGGAGCCTCAGCATCACATAAAAAATAAATATAAAGGTATTAAAACAAAACCAAAAAAAAAACCTCCTTCATGGTAACATCATAGTTGTAAACAGCATACAACCCAAAGGGTAGCCATTCACACACACTACCACAGAGCCCCTGGAGTTACATAGTGCTATCTTTTAACCCAGACTAAAAATGTAAGAATACAAAAAGTCTTGCACTGAATACAGATTCTTACCTCTACTTCTTTATCACTCAAGGACCCCACGCTGCACAAGCTCTGGTTGGAAGACTCACTATTGAGTGGCCCCTGGAAAGAAAAAATGTTTAAAAGAATCAAAAGAAATTTTAGTTTAAGATGATAGCAAAACTAAGGAAGAAGCCTACTGATTTTGATGTCCAAGACAAGTGACAAAAGCCAAGAGTTGACTGTAACACCTCCAGAAAAATTTGAAAAGAACTCAGCTATTAATACTGAGCCTTCCATGTTAAATTCCTCAGTTCTACTATTTTCATTTGCTTTACAAACTCTGTACTCATAAAGAGATTTTCCCTTCTAGAACATCTGCACATGTTCTGAAGTCATTCATTAAGAAAAATAAGCATGGGAAATAAATTCCCCCAGCCTCTTGTCTCACAAAATATTATCTGAAAGTTGCAACATTAAATATTATGTTAAGAATTCTTTGAGGGGTGGTCAGAGACCATAACAAATGAAGTTTTTCTAAGACATACCTTACCGAGGCATGAATGCAAACTAAAAAACCAAAGTTATAGGAGTCCAACTTGCATAAAACAGCATGAGTTCCACTGGCCTGCTCCTCAGTGAAACTCATGAAAATTATAAAAAGATAAGCATTCAACAAGTGTTGTGGCACACATCAATAATCCCAGCTACTATAAAGGCTGAGGCAGGACGATCCTGAGTTTGAGGTCAATCTCAGCAATTTCAGGAAGACTCTTTCTCAAAGTAAAATAAAAGGGTTGGGGATGTAGTTCAGTGGTATATCACTCCTGGGTTTGATCCCCAGTACCACAAAAAAATGAAGGAGAGAGGGAAGGAGGGAAGAAAAAAGAAGGAAGAAAGAAGGGAGGACAAAAAGAAGGAGGAAGAAGAAAGGAAAATATTTTAATAGTGCTGTGAAAAATCATTCAGAAAAATAATAGTCTGTGGTATCTGAATCAACTCTACTGCCTAAATCTCAATTTGGCTCCAGACTATTGCAGCCAAAAACACAGCCTAAAGACTTCAGGGTCAATCAATCTGAGACCCCTCTTGCTGATACTGTTCCAAACAAGTACCATCAAAGGCAGAGGCTCAACCCCTACTTGAAGGGCAGAGGCTCTACTATAGATACTGCAGAGAATATTGGGTAACCAAGAGCCCTTTCACTCAGCTCAGGAGACAGTGGTTCCATAACAAAAGGAAATCGAAAGGACCTCAGGCCTCTAATACCATCCTGGCACCCCACCCCTTGTACTCAGCTCCTAGGGCTGAGATATCAGTCACAGAAAAGCTTATGATTATCCCCATCCATACATCCAGAAGCTTGGCTCAGATAAATTGACCCTAAGGGATGAAGCAGGAACACACAGTATACAAAGGACTTGATTTCATTTGCAATAAAGCACGGACAAGTTTAATTTCTAAGGGTATCCTCAAGAACAGTGTAAAGCCAGATGTGATGGCGCACACCCTGTTATCTCAGCTACAAGAAGAAACCCAAGTACAAAGCCAGCTTGGGCAACAAAGCAAGACCTCATACCAAAAAAAAAAAAGGAAAAAAATAGTGGAAGAAGGACTGAAGGTGTGTATGTAGCAGCTCAGTGATAGGACATTACATGTTTATTTTAAGGTCCTTGGTTCAAGCCCCAGCACCACACACACACACACACACACACACACACACACACACACACAAAAGGAACAGCAGAGATTGTGATAAAAGACAACTACAAGAAGATTCATGGATGTAATAAAAATCTAGATTGTAGGCTGAATAGTTTGCTACAAAGAACCAGGGCATAAGACAGCTGGGAGGAGTTCTGCTGGGGACAGAGAAAACAACTAAGAAGACCTCTGAAATTCACAGTTATACTTTGATTGCATTCAATTATGGGGGAAATAATGGCCAGGACATTGTTGAAAACAATGGAACAACTAATCAATAATGTTAATAAGGAGGGTACTGTCTGGACAAGTAAAGAAGAGAACCCTACCAGTACTTTGGTCATTGCAGGATGATGATGACTATGGGCGTACAGAAAGGCATGCCTCCCTGAGGAACATCAGAGGCTTAATACTAGGGGATAAGGATGGAGAAGTATTAGCAGACCCTCTAGTCTACTAAATAACCCTCTAGTCACTCCCGACTCCCCCAGCAAAACAACAGTAACAACTCAGGAGGTAGGAAAGTAATCTGTACCAAGAGTTGCTACCAAAAAAAAAAAAGAGAGAGAGAGAGAAGAGTTGCTACAATACATTATCTAAATCAAAGTTTCCAACAACAAAAGAAATCATAAAGCAACAAAAAAATGATCCATACACACCCCACCAAAAAAAAAAAAATCAGGCAAAAGAAACAAAGGAAACCATCATTAAAGAAATAAAGAACGGGCTGGGGATATAGCTCAGTTGGTAGAGTGCTTGCCCTCTATGCACAAGGCCCTGGGTCAATCCCCAGCACCACAAAACAAAAAAATAAAGGAAGGTACGAGTGAACAGATGTTATAAAAAAAATAACTGAGTGGGAATTCCCGAGTTTAAAGAAAAATACCTGAAATTAATGGAAGGGGGGAAAAACCACGAGAGGCTCAATAGTAGAATTGAACCATTTGAAGGGCCAGTGGTGTAGCTTTATGGTAGGACATTAGGTCATGTGCTTATTATTATTATTTCAACTCCCCCCCAGGACCAAATACAAAGATGGGGGGGGGCTAGAATGGAGAAAAATAAACTGAGCATCAGAAAAATACGTAAAACTGTCAAAGAGGGGTAAGAAAGGAACTCTTCAAAAATTTATTGAAAAATAATAATCAGGAGCAGTTGCAAATGCCTGGCTGAGAAAAAAGGATCAAGAGTTCAAAGCCAGCCTCATCAAAGGTGAGGTACTAAGCAATGCAGTGAGACCCTGACTCTAAATAAAATACAAAACAGGGTTGGCAGTGTTGCTCAGTGGTTGAGTGCCCCTGAATTCAATCCTTTACCTGCCCTGGCCTCCCCCACACACACACCCTAAAAAAAGAAAAAGAAAAATAATAACCTACACAAATAGGAACCTCAACAAACATTAAGTAATATGAACACATAGAGATCTATAAATAGATGTATCACAGAAAAAATGCTCAAAGGCAAAGACAAGGAGAAATTCTTAAAAACAGAAAAACAACATAACATACAGGAACCCAGTTAAGATTAACATCTGACTTCTAAGCAAAAACAAATGGAGTTCAGAAGACAGTGGAATAAAATACTAAAAATGCTCAAAGAAAAAATGCCAACCAAGAAACCTATACCAAGGAAAGTAGTCTCTTAAAAACTAAGGCAAGAGAGCTGGGGATGTAGCTCAGTAGCATAGCATTTGCCTGTCACGTGTGAGGCTCTGGGTTCAATCATCAGCACCATATAAAAAAGAAACAAATTAAAGGCATGCTGTCCATCTATAACTACAACTACCAAAAACAAAACAAAAACAAACCCAAACCCAAACAAAAACAAAAACCAACACAAAGGCAAGCTGGGTACAGTGGTGCACTCCTGTAATCCCAGCAGCCTGGAAGGCCGAGGCAAGAGAATCACAAACTGGAGGCCAGCCTGCACAACTTAGTAAGGCCCTGCCTCAAACTAAATAATTAAAAAGGGCTAAGAATGTAGTTCAGTGGTAAATGCCCTTAGGTTCAATCAATTCTCACACCCCCCCACCCCCACACACAAAGGGCAAAATGATTGCTTTCCCCATACATATAGGCATAGATACACACTCAAAAAGGATAAAAAATGTAAGGGCTAGAATTATAAACTTCTTAAAAAAAGGCATAAAGGTAAATTTTTATGAATTTGGATTGGGCAAAAGATCCTTAGATATGACACAAAAAGCAACAACAAAAATAAATAAATAAGTTGGATCTTTGAAAACCAAGCTTTTTTTGCTTCAAAAAACACTATCAATAAAAAGAAAAAAACAATCTAAAAAACGGGAGAAAATATTTGCAAACCTTCATGATAAGGAATTTCTATGGAGTCTTACAATTTATTAATAAAAAGAAAGAATTCAACTGAAAACACGGACAAAGAACCTGAACTGAACAGATATTTTTCTAAAGACAATACACAAATGGACAATAAGCACATGAAAAGATGTTCAATAACATTAACCATTAGGGAAATGTACATCAAAATAACAATGACCTTCCATTTCAACTGCACTAGGATGGCTAGAATCAAAAAGACAAGAAATGTTGGCAAGAATATGGGAAAAATCGGGACTGAGCTTGTGGCAGTGGTAGAGCACTTGCCTGGCATGCGTGAGGTACTGGGTTCTATCCCCAGCACCACATAAACCAATTAAATAAACAAAATAAAGGTATTATGTCCATCTACAACTAAAAAAAAACAAAAAGAATATGGGAAAAATCAGGGGGCTGGAGTTATAGCTCAGTGGTGCAGTGTAAGGCACTGGGTTCGATCCTTAGCACTACATAAAAATAAAATAAAAGGCATTGTGTCCATATACAACTTTAAAAAATATTTTTAAAAATATGGGAAAATTAGAACCCTCATATAATGCTACTGGGAATGTAAAATGGTATCGTACAGCTACTTTCAAAAACAGGCAGTTAGTTCCTCAAACAGTGAGAGAGAGATACAAAATTTCATTCCTAATTATTGCTCCAGAGAAATGAAAACAGGCACACAAAAATGTGGACACAGGCCAGGTGTGGTGGCACACGCCTGTAATCCCTGTGGCTCAGGAGGCTGAGGCACGAGGATTGAGAGTTCAAAGTCAGTCTCAGAGGCTAGGGGCTCAGTGGTAGAGCACTTGCCTAGCCAAGTGTGAGGAACTGGGTTCAATTCTCAGCACCACATATAAATGAATAAAATAAAAATAAAGCTCCATCAACATCTTAGGAAAAAAAGCCAGCCTCAGCAGAAGTGAGGCACTAAGCAACGCAGTAAGACACTGTCTCTAAATAAAAAATAAAATAGGGCTGGGGATGTGGCTCAGTGTCCCTGAGTTCCATCACCACCACCACCACCCCCCAAAATGTGGACACAAGGCATAGTGGCACATTCCTATAATCCCAGATTCT